AACAAACAAACAAACAAAAAAAACCCAACAACTTTTAACCTGTTATTATGTTATATTTAATGATACCTCTGGAGGTCCATTAAATGAGTAGGCATAGAGAATTGGCTGAACCATGATAAGTGACTGGGTTAGATCTTGACGCATAAAATGATGACGATAGTATGAGCTCTCATCTGGACTGTTATTAAAAACTTGTAAGAAAGGAGATCTTCTCAAGTGAAACATAAACTGCAAAACAAAAAAACACACATTTGTTTGAACCTTCACAGATAAAAAGGAGAGTTGTACAAAGAGAGAAATATTTTTCACAAACTACACAAGACCAGTGCCACAACAAAACAGGATTCTAAGTCCTTTAACATTTCTAACTTGTACATGCACCTTTGCCAGTTTTTCTATACTCTCGTGAGAGTAAGAGAGAGATCAGAATGAATAAACCCACAAAGCAGCTTTGAATTAAGAGGAAAGTTTACCGTTTCTTCTTCTCCAGTATTAATTGATAAATAGTATGACTGAATATTGCCAAATCCTTCCTTTACTGTAAGCTCTACTGTTCCTATGAGGGAGGCTGCTGTGCTTGAACACACAAGTTGTAGTATGTGAACAATAAAAAAAGAACATTAACCACAGCAAAGTTGAACTTCATTAGTAAAGTTACTAAAGTGGAAGAAGCAAATCCCTCCATTGCTGAATCAATCTCTTCACAACTGTTAACACCTTGATTTGGAAGGTAAGTCAAACAGAAATATCACGTAAGTCTATGAAGAGTCCAAAAGCAACATACCTGGAGCTATGAGAATGAAGGAATTTATCAAAATGGATTATCAACAAAGAAACTACTCGAAGTTTAATTAGTTTAAACTATTCAAAGAAACTATTCATCCCTAGAGGCACATCTTCCTCCTACTCACCTGTGGGTAAAGTGAAAAGGTTTCTGAAAATCTGAAAGAGCTTGGATCATCTTTGTGATATTCTCCAAATTTCTGACACTGGAGTAAAAGAAAAATTTATCTCAATTAAGAAACGAACTTCCTTGGTCATGCCACTACTGTAAGTTTGTTTGGTTTTAACAGACACATGATTTGAGGTGCTTACAGCATTGTAAGCAAACAGAAACCCAGCAAAAGCGTATGTTTTTGCTACGTATGTTCTTTTCTTTCCTTGTGTATGAGGCTTTAATGGCTTACTTTTTTTTCTCCCCCTCTCTAAAATTTCCAAGCACAGTTGTATGATTAAACTGCCCTGGAGAGCACATTTAAAATTAAATTACTAATAATTACTTACAAGTAATTAAAAAGAAAAAAAAAAAAAAACAACTTTTTAAAAAAAAAAAGAAATTCCACATGATTTTCTAGATACTTCGATTTTTTTTTTCTAAAAATATTTCATCTACACTATCATTATAGGCAGCAAAAAGTAGAGAAAGCTTTAATTTCTGCTAATCTTATACTAAATTTCAATTGTTGGCAATTGAGGAAACATTAATAAACAAATCAAAATCATATCTGCTCTTTTTCCAATTTAAAAAGAAAAATCTTAGTTAATTCTGCATACTTCCTTGAGGAAATGAAGTATTCAGTTAATTTTTTGTTTTATTTTTAAAGAAACAATCACTGAACACCAGTCATTTAAGAATGATATTTCTGGATACAAGAAATCAATCTGACTCTTGTAATATAGTCCTTCTTACCAGACGTATCAGTTGCCTATCCAGCCACCTAAGCACATCAGGCCCCTCTTCTGTCTCTGCCCTATACACCGCCAATCTAGCCATGAGAATCGCAGCAGCTTCCTGGTCAAAAGATGCCGCAATGTTTTGAATCTGCGTCTGTGCATCTGCCCAGCTGCAAAACAAAAATACAAGTATTTGCATCACAGTGAAAGGAAAGAAGAATCTCAAAATATCCCTTCAAAATTAAGGCAAAGAAAGCAGTGTTACCAGTTTAACAAACTCATGCTGGAGCTTCAAATATCTATTGGGTGTAGATGAGCAGCCTCTCAGTTAACCATTCTTTAATCAGAAATATCCCTTATTCGTAGAGATGTCAGGCAACCAGTGAAATAAAATATAATGCCACTTACAAAACAGTTGTTATATTTTAAAAAATATTAATTATGATGTTACAGAAAACACTGCCCATGAAGCTAACCACACATTCCCACACCAGCAGATGTCTTGTGCACCTTTGCTCATCCTTTCAATTTACAAGATGAGCTATTAATCTGCCCTTTTTATCAGTTGCCAAGAAGATTTTACTAATATAACTAATGTAAGTTCACAAGATATTCATATGAACAGTAAGGACAACGGGGTTTTTTTTTGTAAACTGAATTTCCCATCGCATTAACCAATCAATAATCTCCATCTTAAATGAAATGTCACGGGACATTGAAAAATGCCTGTACAATATTAAACATCACTTTCTAAAACTGTGGAATAAATTGAATCAATAAAGTTCCAGGTAAAAGTTATATATTGAAGAATAGGTATTTTCACATACTACAAACAAAACTGAATTCCACAGAAAAAAAGAACATTCACCACAGCGAAGTTGAACTTCATCAGTAAAGTTAATGAAGTGCAAAAAGCAAATCCCTCCATTGCTGAATCAATCTCTCCACAACTCTTAACAACCCCCCACCCTGAACTGCAGCTAGCACTCCCAAGTTGAGTTACAAAGTGATCTTTGCCATTCCCTAAGTCTGACCATCTCCTCAATTTAGGCCATAAAATTTCACTCGAAGTTTCCTCATCATCTAAAATCACTTGGGTTACTCCAGAGCACTCCCAAAACATCATTATAGAACCACTGCCACCTCTCGGAGAAGAAACAACCCACAGAACAAGAGAAGCAACTCGCAAAGGTATAATCATGCTTTCACCACCTGTGGCACTGCACATCCCAGAAGAATAGACTGATTACAGAACCTAAAGATTAAAAGGTAAATACATATCCTGCTTTTTTGAAAACGATTCACCACAAGTAAAACTTACTTTCTGGCAACTGTGGTCACTCTAATACGTCTCTGTCCACTGGAATGCTGGTATTGAGTCACAAATTGAATTGCACCACGTCCTCCTTGAGGAATGGGAGCATTGTGCTAAGTACAGGAGGAAAGAAATTAAATGGAGAGGAATCTCAAGATTTTACAGTGTAATCCAAAAAATGTATAAACAGATTACTAGAAAATTATAAACTTTTTTGCAATAGGCAGCTCAAGTTACATAAATGCACTGTCTGGTGGTTTTATTATGTTGGGAACGTTTACTAAACATGGCTAATAAACTTGGAGACTGTTAAGGGATGTTAGGAGCAGTTGCTGCCTCCACCAGATACCCTTAAAGCAACCAATGCTCTCTCCTTCCATGCACCCTTACAGAGACACTTTCAAAGGGGCTATGTAAAAATTGCTGATTTCATTCCTCTATTTGAACACCATGTGATTCACTAGAATTATAGGGCAACAAAACTGATACTACTCTAGAATGCTGATTAATGAATCTCAGGAAGTGCCATCAAAACATAAAGATTGGAATCCAAGCGTAAACCTTAATTTCAAAATCTGCTTGGTAGAAATTCAGGTTTATAGGTTGCTAACAAGGTAAATAATCCCAGGAGAGAAGGACAGTTGAAATCAACTGTTACACACCATGACCAGATCAGTTTTAGAGCTACTAATAAAAATAAGACCAAAATAAATATGCAAAGCTAAATTCAAGTTTTCCAAGTTTTGCACAGGTTATAAAAGTATGTAATACAGCCTACTAAATACATAGAAACTACAGTCAGCTCACATAGTTCCTGAGCTTCAAATATTTGGGAGAAGTACTAGAAGGAAGTAGCACATTTGTTTGCCATGTTTTTATTCTCTTTCCTGGTACTCCCTCAGGGAGACAGGAAACCCTGATGCATTTCAATGCAGCAAATCTTTACTTGCAAATACTCAGCAATTAAAGCATAAATTAAAATGTAACATTATGGAGTAATTAACTTGTAATTAAAATATCAGAGAAACACTGAAAAGCACTTTTAAATATACAGATTACAGTACTTTCATATGTTGTAACTGAAACAGATTTTAGTAACACTCTGAAAAGAAAAAACTAGATTTAGATTATGAACTCTTATCCAAAATTTGAAGAGCTCTTTGGTTCTCATTATTATATTCAAGAAAATAAGCTCATCATTAAGCTGTTAGTATCCGTCTCTAAACTTTGACAACACAAAATGGCAACATCATTTGCATCTGTGCTACTGTGCTTGAGGGAACCACACAAAAATACAGCAGTCACATAAAATAAAATTACAGTGTATAGTAGACAAATATTTATTACCTGGTTGACCACCTCAAAGTACAGTGCAAGTGTTGTAGTAGGATTAAGTCCACAAATCTTCCACTGACAAGTACCTCCTGTTCCAATCTCCTGTAGAAAAAATTTATAACACTTTTACAAACCAGAAGTATTACCTTGCTTATGATGTACAACACCTGACCATTATAGGTATTTGTTTACAACTACTCTGTGACAGGTTTCCTCCCTGATCACTCTGTCAAGCTTTTCAAGCACTCCTGCAAAATAACTGCAGTGTTGGATGTAAGAATAAGAAAAAAGGAGATGGTAGCAAAAGATTAAAACATTAAAAAGAGAAGGAGAAAATTTCCATTAGAAAAATGGAAAAAATAAGTCAGAAACAGGAAAAATGTACTAGACTTTGCTTAAACAATCCCAAGAGAAGAGGTAACAAGCATATGCAAGTGGAATGCCTATTCCAATGCACACCAGGTAAAACTTCAAAGTAGGTAGCTTACAGAGTATATACTATGTAGTTACATAGTCTCTAGATACTAACAAGGTAACTGTATACAGATAGTGATGTATTTTAAGTGACAATTCCTTTTTGTCATCCAAACAACATAAATACCCAGTGAAAACAATTAAAATAATCAGCCAACCATAATGGACCCAGTGAAACCAAACAAAATATTCAAGGAAAATTAAACTGGCAATACTATCACTGTGCTTGTATTCACTGTTACATGCACTATGGCTAGAATAAGCAGCCACTCTGCAGACAAACCTAAACAAGTAACAAGGGATCCACAAGTTCTAATACTACCTTGAATGTCATCTAATCCAAAATCTTACTAAAAAAAAAAACCAACAAAAACAAACAAACAAACAAAAAAAAAAACCAAAACAAAAAACAAACCAAAAGAAAAACCAAACCAAACCAAACCAAAACAAAAACCACAAAAAAAAACCACCAGCCCTGGCACCTGGCATGTGTTTTATTTAGAACCGATAAAAAGGGAACATTGTTTGGTTCATTTATGGAAAAATTTCAGCATCTCCTCAAATACGAAAATCCTAAATCCTATTCTTCCATAGAAGAATATTACCTTCATTTTCAGCAAAATTTACATACATTTTCTGAGACACAAGGTCCTTTAGAGTTGAGAGAGACACAGGGTCCAATCGCTCCAGAAACCTTCACTTCTCTTGAAGTCTTTATATATAGAAGAAAAACATACATATGTCACACTAAGAAGAATTCAGTCTTATCATTAGTTAATGAAAACCACAATGCATGTCAGACTCTTGATACCTTTAGGAAAGGTTGTACATGTAATATGCTTGGTACATTTAGAGAAACTTTTCATGTGCTCACTTTCTATTCTTAATTATGTATGTTTACTGTACCGATTAGTACATCTGAAATAAACAGCATAACATAACTCATGCCAAAAAGCTGCTGTTATTTACAAACCTGAGAGCCTAGAAATATAATGGATAGTGTCTATTTTTTATCAAAATAATTAAAATATTCAAAAAGAGATTAAAACTGAAGACTTGTAGGATATGCCTGTACATACCCCAGAGAAAATTTATATTCTATCTCCTAAACATTTAGCTAAAAGCAAAATCCAGTTATTCACTCTTCCAATGTCATTTTCCTGTTTGATCTGTACATCCCTCCGAGAACTGGGGGTCCCTTTTTGCATTTTCCAGAATCTTCCAACAAAATTCACAAGAACACACGCATGAAAAAGAGGGTTCAACTATTTTCCTAGTAGTAAAACTTAAACAGAATTTTGCTGACCAAGAAAACAGCCCCAGATTCTTCTAGAAGGCAGGACTGTAATATTTTGCAAGAAACATCATGGAAGACAGTACTTGAACCTACAGCACGTTCAGCTCTAAGCTTCTCACAAGAGAGGAAGTGAGAATGAACACTGTTAGAAGTGCTAGAGTGGATTCTGGTAAGGATGGCAAATGAAAGGAAAACTGTCCTGAACTATGGAGAGAACCTGGACCTAAACTGAAGAAACTCTCACTACTGATACCAAAATCTAAGCGCACAGCACTGTGAGACATTCAGTCTCCCTTTCAGCTGTCACTGAACACAGGGTAAGAAGGAACTAACATTATACCTAACTCACATTTGCATAATCTTGGATCTGCAAAAAGAGGGCTAGGCAGTACAAGCTATGTCCAAGCCAACCCTAACACAGCCTAACCCTAATAAGCAAACCCTAAACACATTTTCTAAAAATTCTTTAAAGGGCAAAGAATCCACAGGTCGTAGCCATCCTATTCCAGTATTTAACTAACATGCTGCATTTTTGTATTCTTACCTTTATTTCTAACGTGCCACCAAATCCCATTTTAAATTGTCCCTGCATATCTTTCGTGAACACCCTCTGAAAGGTCTGTTTGAATAAAGATGTATTGAAAGAGTCTCCCATTACCATGTAGCCTCTAGATGACAACAAAACAAACAAAACCCTCGAGTTAAAATAGATTTCATATCATGCAATAATTTAGCACATGGGATTTGTATTTCTAAATTTTGTCTAAAGACAATTTATCATAAGGCACATTTTTGCCTTCTTAAAATGGACTATCATTAAATTAGTATTTTGCTACCATGTTAAGGATGAAAATTTTAAGTGGGCTTCTTGCCCAATCACCATCTTAGGGTTACTGTTAATATATAACAAAATCTTTCACTGAGAAAACACTACACGGGACTTCAACACCACAAATGTCTCACAGCCTTGTCATGCAAAGTCAGCTTATTCCTAATATTCAGTATTCCAAACTTATTTCCACACCACTTTCTGTAGTTCGCTGGTTATTTCAGGCTTAAATCTATGCTCAAGAAGCATGATTTATCTTTATGCTTAGCAATATTCCGTGGATGTAACTGCAACAGTTGCTGCTTATCATGAAAAATACATTGCATTTAAAAAAATAGTAGTGGGAGACAGTACTTTTATTCATTCAAAAATATTAATTAAATAATACTGGTAAAATAAGTTAACAATCAAACATTACACCTGAAAGAAGTTATGTAAGTTTTCAGGTGGATATTCAAAGATGGAAGAAAACAGACACAGGCAGAATCAGAAATTCCTCCCTGTATGCAGGATGTAGCCAAATCTGTAAGAAACAGCTGTAAGAGAAATAGACAAACTATACATTAAGGCTACTTTTGCTGAAAGAACAGAAACGGGGTAAGTCAAGTCACAAGAGCAGATGGAAAGAGCAAAATTACAGAGAAAAATACAGCTTGAGTTTGATGCAGAAAAGGAATAAGAGTCAACTGTGCAGGTAAAGTCATAAACTTAAAGATCCCGAACAATGAAAACTCCCAAGCTAAGGCTATACACACAGCTCTGAAAAGAGCAATCCAGTAGTGATTAGCACGGTCAAGCTGGCCTGAAACTCAGTAGCATATGTTCATCACAACTTGTGGCTGCACCTCTCATTCCTTGTATGCCCAGATATGTAGCATGTGCTTAGGAGCCTCTGTCACATGAAGACATCGACAAGCAATTAAGAAGGCCTTATACCCAGATATACCTGGGATTTACCTTTATACACTGATACACCAGTTATTAAACTGATAAGTAAATTTTACATGCAATTGATATTGACAAAAGTAACAGTAACAGGCAAGAAAAATGAGCTTGGCAAGAGAATCCACACTGAATACATAAGGCTGACCTAAAAATCAAATGGTATGTAAAGCATGTGGCTATACCAGTAAAGTTGAAATATTGTGTGTATGGAAAAGGCTTTGAGAAACAGAAAGAAAATGCAGTCCTTGAAAAAAGTACGGAGGAAGAACTGGCAGGATTTGCAAATTAATGAGGTACTTAACACACAAGCAGGAGTCAAAAGCTATACCAGACTGCAGATATGCATAACTGGAAGGATAAAGGCACTATCCACAGTGACAGAAAATAGGGGAGAGGTTTCATGAGAAAGACTAGAACTTTCTTCGATCATATTAAAGTGAACTGATGGCAAGACAAGCTTAAGGAAACACAAGACCATGTCTGAAACATAGAATTGGACAGAGGTAGCAAAAATCAGGAGCAACAGACGCACCTGATAATCACATAAGACTGTAGTTAAACCTATGAACAACAGTATATAGAAGGGCATAAACAAGACAGAATAACACAGGGTTTTGTACCACTCTGAACACCAAGGAAAAAAAAAAGGATGACATGCCCTTATCTTTACTGAAACCTACAGCTTACATAAATGCACACTGAAAAACAGCAACAGTGGATATATTCCCTGTTTAAAAGTTACCCATGTCATTTAAGCCTCAAACTGATCATATCAAAAGAAAACAGCAAACCCCCTTCTGATCAAATCCACAACTGTGGTGACAAATTTGCCAGAGGCAAATACTACTTAAAAATTAACAGGCACATACCCTGTGTAGTTGGGACAACACTTCATCTCCAGAAGACCAGTCTGATCCAACGCACATGCGTATATGTCAATAACATGACCATTTGTTGCAGCCCGATTAGCCAGGGCTTCAAAATGCTAAATCCAAGACAAAAACAGTTCATAGTGATTTAAAATGTGAACAGGCCTCACCTTCATATTAAATCCTAACTCCCAAAGTTTTTCTAAAACAACATTATCAGACTTCATTCATATATTGTTCCAGTACAAGCTAAAAAGGTATTTTTTTCCTGAAGTTAAAAATAAGACTGGAATTTTTAACACTTGGGTGTTAAAAAACACCTTTAGCCTTACTCTAAATATACCGTTTATAGTCACATAAATCTTTTCTGACTCAAACCAGGGAAAAGGTTCAAAGAACTTTACTGTGAGCTACACAAAGTCCTAACGCAAAACACTGAAATTTCTGAAGCAATTCCTGAAGACATACCACTATTCAGAGACAGGTAAACAAAACCACAGAATTCCCACCTCTTCATACATTTGCTACTAACAGTATTTTAGTGCCAGACAATGTATATGCTTACTTTCTGGTAAGATGTCTAAAAGTATCACCCATTATCATCTCTTACCTTCGTACCCTTTTTAACATATTTAGCATTGTCTTTTTCAATGTCATGCCATGATCTTATAGGTAACTTCAGTTCATCCCCTACAACCATGCCAGGTCCTTGTGTAGCTGGTCCTCCAATGAACATCATTATACGTGCACCGGTATTGGGAAAAGTACACTGAAGGAAACAGAAGACAAATAAAACTATGAGGTTTTCCTATAAATTCAACAAAAGAAAAAGCTATCCAGGTATTTATTACATTGATAGCATTCTAACAATAACAGTACTTTTTCCCTCCCAAAACTTAAATCGGCTGTTAGTTCAATTTTGCCTCGTTAAAATAATTCTTTACATGTAAGGTATGATACCCATCAGAATCATCATATAAATCTAATATGCATCAATTACCCAGGCTTTTACATATTGATTCTGCAACAAAATGATTTTTTTACATATCAGCATAACTGTAGTTAAAGCTATTACCTCAAGGAGCCCTACAGCTATAGAAAGAGCCACTCCAGAGGAACGTAAGGGCCGTTTTCCTTGTGGAACAGGCCAAGGATCCCGTTGCAGTTCACCCAAAAGATCAGTAAGATTCATATCAATTTTCTGCACTGGCTGCAAAAATCTGTAAACAGATACATGAAAGTAGTTTAGATTCAGACTGTTGAATAAAATTTTATCAGTTGTTCACTAGCAATATATTAGACATATATTAGCAATGTCTAATTCTAGATTCTAGTCCGAATTCAGAGTAATGTCTCTATCTCCCCAAAATAATGCTGTTTGGTGCTACTACATGTTATTAAGCATGCTCAGCTTAAGAACTTCAGCAAAGAGCTTGTAAACCAAAAACTTGCTGACTTAAGACTTACTGCCACTATCCAGAAAGAACCCTGTTTACTCAAATGAACACAGCAGATGATAACCCAGGAATCTCAGAAAGAAACTCAAGTTTCACTAGTTCAGTGAAAATCAGAGATCAGAAAAAACATTAACATATAAAGAATTTTTTGTGCTCTCTGCTACAGGCTGTCCACAAATGCGGCTATTTATCGGAAGGCAGAGACTGCAAAACTCTCTCTTATCGTTTCATAAATTTCTTCTATGTCATAGTGGTATACACAGGAGAATCAAACACCAACCTGCATTTTCCAAACTGAAGACAGAAGGGAAGGGAAGGGGAGAGGAGTGGAAGAAGAAAAAAAAAGGTAAGGCAAAACCAGATATCCACATAAGGAAGGGGCATCATAGCAGCCATTAACGCTTTCCAGCACACCAACTATGTGTAATATGCCTATGTAATGCTCTCTCAGATAATTTCTGGAGCATCATCCAGATGACTTTACTATCACCCATTAAGTCTTTTCTTCCCAGAGCAAACTGTAGGAAAAAAACAGGCTGTAACCAATATTCTCCTAGTAAACTTGTGTCTGATTAAAAGGTTCGACTGTCAGTTGACTGTTTTCATTGTCGTAAAACATAACTTTCCCAGTAAATCAGTGTAGTCAAAGTATGTTTTTCAGATATTTTAAGCACATTACCTGTTAGAAGGTGGTGGCTGCTGCACTTGAGGACCCCGACCAACTTGTGAAACAGCTACTTTTGTAAGCCCTAGCATTTCCTGTAGTCAAATACGTAAGATTTTATTACAAAATTTGCTTACAGACTATCTGAAGTTCTTCATCATAATCACCTTGACAATTTCATGTTGTTTGCTTTTATGCACTACCTGAAGCTGTTTTGCAGAGAGGTCCTTCGTTCCTCTGAAGACGTAACTTTTGGAAATTCCTTCACAGCCAAGCTCATGAACTTGCACCATTCGGCCAAAGGTAATGAGACCTACTAACGCAGTCGGTGGTAGGAGACTAAGCGACATTTGCATGGATTCCTTTAGAGCTTGCAAGTCTTCATCTTCCATGCATGTGTCCACAACATATAGAAATATCAAAGGCATCTGAGGACCACGCTTTAAGAAACACAAATATAATCACATGAAAAGCTAACTCTGAAATATTTACACGATCAAAAATGAACACATGAAGTACATTTTGTAAAAGTTTTCATTTCAACCATACCAGTAATATCAATGTTCCATCTAACTTAGCTCCCTCTCAAGCAGTAATTAATATCCTGGGCAAAAGGGAAAAAAAAAAAAACTCTACCATAATGAACTCTACACAAAAATGCAATGCTTACTACAACAGAAAATAAAAAAAAAAAAAAAAAAACCTTTCAGGATGCCAGGATAGTTTTGAAGCATGTGCCATTTATATAAATCTTCTAACATACAATGAGCTTTCATTGCTCCAGGAGAATGTAACAGTCTTAAAGCTGTTCATAGTTACAGAATACTCCAACGTGATGACATTCCATAGCATTTCATCTCATAATTTTACTCTAGAGATAATCAGTTCTTTTTATTCTTTCTCAACTAATTTTGCTGTACTATGAGCAGATATCCCCTTAGGCAAAAGTTGAGATTCTATTCAGTTGGCAAAAAGCTGAGATTCTATTCAGTGTTCACTCTTCATACTCTGAATGCCTCACTGAATTCTTACAAATTTTAATCCTCAAAAATGGAATTTAGAGTTTACAAATTTGCAACTGCAAATGTTTGCAATTTGGGGATTTAGGTCCATTTTTTATGTCTATTCAAGTAACCATAAAAAGGATTAATATTAAAATTCAAATACCTGAATTGAATATGTACTAACCATTTTCTCTAGACCAGCTAGCCCTAAAACTAATTCATAATCATTCAAACACGAACTTAAGAGCCAAATTATTAATGAAAGATTAATCAACAGTCTGACAAATTTAAAATGAAATTCAAATGAATTTGAGCAAGAAACAACAGTAAGCAGACCACTGGTACAAACACAGACTAAACTCCTGGTAAAGAAACAGACCCAACAGAAATACTGCCTTTAGAAGAGATCTCTCTTACTTCTTTCAGTTTTTCGTTTTGTTTTTAAAGAGTCTTATTAGCTATCCTTGTATTCTTCTAAAGAATTATGTTTTCCATTTCCATATGATGACACTAATGTTCAATGTACTAATAAGCACATACAGACTCACAGTCCTTCAAATGCAGTGAAGAAATAAAATTGAAATTAATTCTTTTTGGATAAATGCAAGGCTGTAGATGTTAAAGATCTCATTTAATTATTTTACCTGTACTACATATTCAATGCTGGAGAACTGAGGCAAAAGTTCAGCTGGCTGATTCATTTCAGATATGCCAGCATAGGTAGGAGGAAACTGCAAATAAAACCACAGAAATTAAGTATAAGTAAAAGATTGCAACTTCTACAAAAACATACATACAGACTACTTTCCTCCGCAACAGATATTCACTACTGCTGTCGGGAAAAATCTCTATGCAATTATCTGAAGATACAGCTGCACACTCATGCTCTTGCTGTCAATTTCGGTTTGCAACTCTAATTTTAAAAATGAGAATGTTCATTCTTACCTTACAAAGAACATTTTCTATATGTTGAATGTTTCATTTTCTTACCTGATTTCTCTGATAACAGAAGTTGCAAGCCCAGAGTTTTGCTCGATAATCCACTTGGCTATAAAAATACAATAAGAAAAGGTTATATAGCATGAACAATTTGTTTTCCTCTGTTGTCCCTAAAATACATTTCTTTTTATTTTTCAAAAGCACGCTGACTTTGAAAAAGCTTTCTCCTAATATAATTTTTCTTCTAAATAGCCATACTACAAATTCAAACTAAGTATAGTCTTACACAGATGGATCAGGCAAATTAAGGTTGTTAGACAGGTGAAATGGTATTCAAGGAAAAGAAGCAAGTAAAAAAATTAAGAACAGAGAGTCTCAGAACCTTTATGAGAGACTTTCTGCATGACCTTAAGCAAATCATTTTAACTTTCACTATGTTTGCATTTTTCTCCTTTCTCAGCCTATGTCTATTAGCTATCAGAGCCTGGGACTATCCTACACAAGCATCATGCCCTGAAAAAAAACAGCTTCCACCTTAAAAGTTCTCTCTCTAGTGAAAATAACATTTTTATTTATTTTTTTTTTTTAGAATTCATGAGCCTACCTCCTTTTATCTACACTTTTATGAGCATTCAGATAGTGAAAATACATGTTAAAAAATGCAACTTGTATCTTCATGCCACAGAGATAGATGTCTTACAGAGTCCTACTCTCATCTTAAGGGAAAGTAAAAGTTACATGATTTCAATAGACACTCCTTGTTGTCGCATCTTCTCCTGTCTAAAAGGGAAAAAGTCTTTAAAGTACTACTAAATCTTTGGATAAGTCCCAGCATGCTGTAAACACTACACAGCTCTACTGAGGTCAAATGATCTATACAAATTTCAGAGGCTGCAGACTACCTAGCTTGATACACTGTGCCATACAGGCTTCAAAAGGTCCCCCCAGATTGAATATCTAATCACATCTTGTCCCTGCTTGGGAGAAAAGACAGTTTCAAAGCAGATGTAAAATTATATTTCAGTATTAAATATACACCATTGCTGATTATAATGGAAGTCAGACATAGTGGAAGCTAACTTTTTCAGAAGCATTATCTTTAATTGAGGGCTGAAAGAAAAATAATGGAAAGACAAAGCTGTAAAGGGTCTGTTAGATCACTGGCATTGCAGTTAAAATGTGCTGCTGCACGTTTTTCCTGTGTCATATATGCAAGTCATGACTAAGGTCAATAAAACAGTTTATTTAATTTGGAAATTCAACTATATCAGGGCCCAGTAGTTAAAAAGATACAGCATAGGAATTTTTCATCCTAGCAATTTTCTAGAGGCAAAATGCATACATACACTAACTCACAGGATGTGTAGTTCCAGAAAAGTAACAAACCTCTTCATTAATTATGTTGAAAAGACTTGTTAAATGAAAGCTACATTTTAAGGATATAAATTACATATGCAAACCTACGTGCAGAAACTTCTAAGATCTAGAAGTTTGATCTGTATACTTATGTGAGGAATGCCTGAATACACCAGATCTTTTACATAGTTTAACTGGCACTATTCTAAAGATTGTTTGTAAGGTAAAATATTGGCGTAATGTATGTATTAGGTTTACCATAAGGGATTCAGCACAGCTCGACACGTGGTCCTACTGCACAAAACTGGCTCATACTGAATAGGAGGCAAGTCTGGGCGTTCCTTCAGTGGCGTGAAGAGGGCAGCCACTGGGACTACCATTCTTGTGGCTTCAAGACGACTTGAAGGCCAAACATTCCAGCTGAATCTAACTCCATCTCTGTCCTCATTCTGCTGGATAAATTCCAGGAACGTTGTCATGGTCAGCTTCTCAGTTTACCACTAAAATAAAAAGATAACCAGAACATTGAAAGGCAAACGTTTTTAAACACGAAATACTGAATGCACTTAATGACAGTCACACATTCAAATACAGTAACTCAGTTATAATCAGTAAACAGAGTAGCACTTCTTAAGTCCTAAAAGGAACACACAGAATTCCAAGGTGAAACAAAAAGAAAACTTGGACTCCTAGGATGCAACAACCTCTTCAAAATAACAAATATTTCATAAGTTGCAAGTTAAATATATAGCATTGAAATAGTTCATCTTCTGATCACTTCCTGACTTAAGCAACAAACTCAGGCAAGGAATATTGTAACTAAAGCAATAATTCTAGGGTGAGCGTAGAGATCATGCAGCACACTAACACTATAAAAAAAGACTTGCTTTCAAAAAACAAAATACACACTGCTTTAAGGATTTTCACTAATGTGTTTAGTTGTTTATTCCATTCATTGTTCAAGAATCATTCATTCTTCCAAATTGTTTAATCCTCTAGCTTCTTTTAAGAATCAAATAGCAAAAAATATTTCTCCTAAGTGTACATGGTTTATGACTTCTGCTCTACCAAATTTTTTAAGAGTTTTCTAAGCATATTTTCAGTAACTCATGATGCAGCCTACATGTATATATAAAAGAATAGCAACACGACACTCCACAAAGAGTACATTCCTACAGCAATGCTAGGAAATAACTGTCAGAAATACAAGTGTCATGCTCCACTACATTACCTATCAAGATGCACCCTTCAACAATTGAACTTAAATTTACCATTTTGGGCACCAACTTAAGACTTTCAAATTCATCAGCTAGTTACTCAGAAGCTCGAGTGCTGGGGAACACAGGCTCACCTGAAAAGCTCAACAGGTACCTGTGAAGATCTGGAAAAGTCTGCAAGAAGCATACGCTCTCCCTCCAACACAAAACCCTTCAGCCATATACACACTGTTCCTGACTACCTGCTGCACGCTTCCCATTACATTTTAGAGCACATATAGCACAGGTTTTTCCAATTACTAAGACAGCTAAACTCCCACTGCCTAACAAGAATGCACTGTAAAAGCCTACATGAACCACCTGGAAAGTAGTCTGAAAAAAATACTCCTAGGTCTCAATTTAGGTTCTACTAAGTTAATGAACAGCTTTTAGAAACACTGGAATCCTCCTGAATTGGGATTTAAATCAGGAATTCTCACAAGCACACTCACCCTCTTAGTCCTGCACGGAGTCCTCCTGCTAAGGCAGACTCCTGGAAAACGCCATTTATGAAGACCTAGCACTCTTTACTAAAACTATAATGTCATGGGACCTTTAATTTTTATGACTGTTAAAAACTTTTCAAGTTCTTTTAAATCACATTTTAACTTAATGATTTCATCCTAATGCTGACTGACTTTTAAGAAAACATATTAGTAACATCCATAAACCAAAGAGAAGCTCCATATTCCACAGTTAATATCATTAGGAAATAATCAATTGTCAGCATGTGATGACAGGTATAAAAAGCAGCCTAAAAATTGTTCCTATAGAACACAGACTAACCAGCAAACTTAAAGAGTATCCTTCTCAAAGTTTTCCACAGGTGCTATCACCTGTGCATTATATCCAAATTCTCTTCCTGAGAAGGAAAGAAGAAATTACAGCCTAAAGGCTATTGCAGGTATTCCATAGGCATCTGCTACAGAGTCCACCAACTCCATCTCCTTACACTGCAACATGAACTCCCACTTCCTGTATTGGACTTTGAAGTCTCTTCTCCACATTTCACTCCAGCTATGTTTAAAATTGTTTTATGTGGGCAGTATTTTTACCACTCAGTTACTGCTCCTCAGAAGGCCATGTACAAACACCAGTGTGCACTGACTAATAAAGTGCACATATAAGAGATTAGTTTGATTTATTGAGTTAAATACTGTTGCTTTCTAGTAAGGTGTGTATTCCCTCTTCAGAAAGCAGAACCTGCTAATAAATTTTCCTCCACCTTTTCTTCCATTCTTTTCTTCCTTTCCAAGGGTCAACAATGCTCACATATTTTATCATTCACTAAATGTGAAACTCGCAGTCTGACAAGTTCAATTCAGTTTCAGCACCACTGCTACAACTGTGCAGGCACGTTTTCTAGGACAGGTGTGGAGATGTATTACACTGGACCAGAAGAACAAACCCTTCTGACCTACAGGGTACATACCAAACTTCATACACCTGAATGCCACAAAACACATACTGCCCACCTCAAAAAAACACAGAGAAGTGATTTTCAGAACAGCTGAACAGCAACAGCTCCCATGTTGGGGTGTCACTGCTTCAGCTTTGCTGCAGAAGAGGACACCCCAACAAGACCAGCAGTCGGTCCATCCTGGCTTGCTGCCTCACTCCCGTTGCTGAGGCTGAATTTACCTCATGTCCCTGCACCATGGCAATCTCACTCTGTGTCACAGACAGAAGCCACACCTGAATTGCATAATGTCACAGGCTGACTATACCCAACTGTGAAAGTCTGATTCTCAGGCAAATAATAGTATTTATGTAATTACTCTGACTAGATGCAAGAGTACAGTTAGGTCTTCCTAACCACCACAAATACCAAAAGTGTTTGACACACTATTTGGAAAGCTATCCTGTAGCTGAATAAACGGGTTAGAAATGCATTATTTTTAAATGCCTCTAGAAGCAACTGCAAACAGCTCATAACCTGAAGCCCCTCCTTCATTTCAGCATCATTAAACATTTACACTCTACATGTAAATGTGTCCCAGTACAGAAGATCACCAAAATAATACCAACTAATATCCTTGCAAGCACATACAAACAAAATCAAAACATTTCTCTCTACAGGATTTTAAGGGTTACAGCTCAGATGGATCAGAGTACTTCACAGGACCATGTATTTAAATGCCACTAAATCAGTCCAGTTCACTGTGCACTTTTCTTACAATGAACCTATTCTTTCAGGTTATTATACACTCACAGTCTGGCAAAATAAAAGATTAATAATAAACCTTCAATTGATTTTTCATGCCAAAATCAGCATTTCAGAGCATTTCAGCTCCAAGGAGGAATTCATCAATATACAAGGAGAATAACTTAACAGCTACCTAAAGCAACTGCAAGTTATCAAACTGACAACATGAGAATTTCATTTTTGCTACTCAAACACAGCCACCCTCCAAACCAGCTCTCTCATGTTTGTTCACTGAAGACTTTTTCAAACAACCAGTGTACGTAATACCCCACCTAAATTAAAAAACCCATAATCAAAAGCAGCAGGGCCCGCATATACACGATTTCTATGTAGCTTTACTGATATCGCAAGGCACCTTTGTCAGCTCCCGGAAGGAGCTCCAGGACAGGGC